TAATCTGCTGAGCTATTTGGCTGGCCCTTATCAAAGGCACTTTAAGGCTGGAGGTGGGGACCTAGGCAAAGATATTTGAATTTTTTAATGCAGACTATATCAGTGATGGCCTTGAATGCCTGGACATGTATCCAGCAGCATGTTTATTTCTTCTCACTCAGGAGTGTACACAGAAACGCAGTGAGAACTTGGCGCTGCACTGGAAGTCATTTCTAGCTGACCTTGGCCTCCGGGAAGGCCTCTGAGGGCACCCTCTCTTGTCTGTTTCCCAGAGCTTCTGTGGAACAGTTCTCATTAAACTATCCAAAGGCTGGGGATATAGCTCAACAGCATAAAGACCTGCCTAAGGTCCTGAGTTCAATCCTTGGTACCTAAAAAATAAGCTTCCCAAAACTCTCAATGCTCCTTGAGCGAAATTGCACAAAACCTGTGGGAAAAGTTAGGTTTCTACAGCCAACAAAGGATTATGCTTCAAAGCAGCATCCACCCTACTGCAGCGTCCTAAAGCCAAACGAGTTGATGGTTCTAAGAGAAGCCACAGCATTCGTGGATGTCAGTGAGAGGGGCACCTCCCATCCCAGGCCACACACTCCCTTGTACACTGGATGGTTCTAAGGGCTCTCGTTCTGTAGCATGGGCAGCATTCAGATTCCCTGGCGAGGCCAGCCACATACATTTAGATAACTGCCTCCCCTTTGGAGTCAACCTCAGTTGTGGAGGATTGCTGCCTTACAGCTCTTTCCCAGGAGATGCAGCCATAGTTCCAGGGAAGAAAGAAGATAAGCACTTAGCGTTTGCTTCAGGCGAGAGTCACACTGTGACCATTCACTCCAGGAGCTCATCCAGCAGCCTCTGCACAACAGCGACCCGTCACTTTGTGTTAGCTCTTGGATGTAAATGAGCTAATGGAAGTTGATCAATTTTTAGTGACCACCATGTATTCCTGTTTCCATGAAGTATTCACAAACTAGTTTTATTTTTCAGCTGTACATAGTAGCCAGGCTCGTAACCCAGCTCTCTGAGACACTGAGGTGGGAGGATTGGAAGTTTGAGGCCAGCTTAGACAATCTGGATACTTAATGAAATCTTATCTTAAAATAAAAAATGAAAAGAGCTGAAGTGTAGCCTCTTATAAAGGCTTGGAGTTCAATCCCCAGACAATACTAAAAAATAAATAAATAAGTAAATAAATAAACCCTTCCTAACCTTCCCTCTTCCAATACTTATCCTATGTCATCTTTGACACTTGATCACATGTTGTTCTATATTTTCAATGCATATTTCTGTTTAATTCATGTACTGCATGGCAATTAAACTTTCAAGCTAACGGCAACATTAATAACAGAAGGAAACTAGCAAAATCACCAGGCAGACATTTTACATCGATTAATATTATAGGTTCAAACACATGATGAAATCCTTGAAGCTAGAAATATTGCTTCGTTTCTTCTTATTTTAAGAGAAAGAAAGAAAGCAATAAAAATAATGATATAGAATTTCAAAATAAGGCAATAGGATATTAACAATGATTATTATATTGCATGTTGTTATCTCAAAAGTATTTGCTCAGATTACCAAGTTTAGGTTTGCAAAATTGATAAAAAGTATAAGCACAAACTGTTCCTTTCAGTGAACTAATAAAAATTAGCCATATATTTATATTAGCTTTTTAATTTTTTTATGGCCAGCTCAGCCTACCCTGGGCGGGGCTGGCACAGCCTGTGGTACCAGGGATCGAACCGCGGTGCCTATGATTGCCTAAGCTTGCCTAAGCAGGCGCTTTAGACCACTGAGCTATCTCGCAGGCCCTATCTTAGCTATCTTGTGTATATATGTATGTTAATTTTCTTCCCTCACCCCAATTGTTCACTTTCAGAATACACCTCTCTCCCCCTGCAGGGCAGGGGAAGCCTCTGGTTGCCTGGTTCTCTGTCAGATGTACAGCAGCCGGCCCCGCCATCCCCACAGCAAGCACCTCCTCAGCGGGGCTTCCCAGCCCAAGACTCCAAGCATCATTTCTAACCTGGATGCTTCACCATATAGCATTGTGCTTCAGGGCTCCTTGTTGCTCTTTCTGGGGTTGAGCATCATAGTTTTGGGCATTCACAGCACTCTTGGAAGCTTTGAACTTTGCTTTCTCCTCTTATAGTCACAACCCTACCTTGGATAACTATCCCATTAAGTGACAGGGAAGAGAAGCAGAAGCTACCAAGTAGGAATCCTACAAATACCCCAGCACTGGTTCTTTCAGTGCTGGTTCCTGCCCCAGAGGGATGGCTAGGCAAGGCCGATTCATTCACAGAAACTCAGATCCTGGCTCTGCTTTGAGACTTTAATCAATTGAAAATCTCCTCCACCTTAAACACTTCCTTCCAGCCAGCTCCTTGCCATTCCTAATACAACATGTGCAAGTCTGTGACATTAAACCAAAACAAGGCAATGGAGGAATCTTTAGAGCGGCCTCCTCTCTGCCCTGTCTCCTTTCTGCTCCTCATAACGGCACATCTTAAAGAAGTTTCAGTAAGTGTATTTATCCCGCAACAAGACTCATCTTCTTCACCCCTCCTTGCTCCTTTTGCTGCTTCTACATTTTGGCCAAGTGTCTTGAAAGAGTGCGTTTCCCGTGTCTGTTTCCTTGCTGTGAGGCCTGCTCCTGCCCAAGGAACATGACGACAGCTGTGTGGCCCACTGAATTCCCTCAGTCCTGACCTTACAGACTTCCCCATCGCCTTTAAAGTGGTTCACAACCTGTGCTTCTTCAATCACCCTCTTCCCTCATGTTTGCCCCTTATTTTACTCTATTCTTTTCTGCCCAGTGCTTGGGTCTCCCACGCAAGCTTCTTGATCTTTCTCCTTGTTTTCACATTTTCCCAGAGCTTTTGTTTCTATGTCAATGTCTTAACGACACCCATAAAGCTCAGACATTTCTTCATAATTGTAAACTTTTGGATTCCACTCCAAACTGGGCATTGGCACTTGGTTGTCTTTATGGTTTATTGGACTTAATGGATTTGCAAACTAATTCATTATTTTTTTTCCTTTTGTTCAAAGCTGCTCCTTGATTTGCAGTTATCCTAGCCAGAGTCCTGGCTATAACTTGAGTTAGCCTGCATCCTCTCACCCTTACCCCTGACAGATGACCAACCACTCAGACCTGCTGCTGCTGGTCTTATGAATGGTTCCCAAACCTGTCGTTCCTTGTCTCTCCCATGAGTACTCTTGTGTGCAATAAAATTATGTCTCCCATAGGTGACTACAGTCATTTCTGAGTTTGTGTACAGCACCCAGAAGGATCCTTCAGAAACACCTGTTTGATCTTCTCATTCCCTGATGGAAAACTTTTTGGTAGCTTCCTATCATTCTAGTGATGATTTTCTAACATGGTGTGAACAACTTCAGAGAAATCCATGTCCTAGCTCCTGGACTCTGTGAGCATTTGGTCCTCCATGGCAAGAGAGTTGACAGACTGTGATCAAGGGCTGGAGCTTTTCAAAGAAGAGCCAGCTTGAGAGACAGGAAAGTAGAAGAAACGGAAGGCTTTCTGTGACTGGCTCTGAAGCGGAAGAAGGGGACAGTGAATAAGTCATTCAGGGACTTACTTCAGGGAGCTGTAGACCCTGGGGAAGCAGGGAAAGGAAACGTTCCCTAGATCCTCCACTGAGGGGTCCTGTCCAGCTGCCACCTTGATTCTGATCCAGGGAGACCCGTTTCAGATTTCTAACTTTCAGGCCTGTAAGATAATAAATTTGTGATTTAAGCCACTGAGCTGGTGTCATTTGGTAACATTGCAGTGGGGAAGGAATGCACGTGACCCAGAGAGTTCTGCATGGCCTGTCCCCTTCCTCATGCCACAGCCCACTCTTTTCTACCTAAGCCCCAGATACACGAGCTTAACTTTGTTAGATGAACCACTTTTTATATAACTTCAGGTCTTTAATCCTGCTGATCTCTATCCACCATGCTGATCTTATCTAGGGCTGATCTTATTTTTAATCAGTGTGTTGATCTTGACACCATTTTACTAGTGTATGCTTGGGATGCATAATAGCTACGTTTACGGGGGTGGAGGAACTGGTACAGATATAATCCTTTTTATCTCTTCATCTCCCCCACCATCCCTCCTTCCCTCTCCCTGATCTTTCTCCCTTCTCCAAAAGGCTTATTTCCGGGTTTCATACATCCTCCCCTTATTTTACTCTTGAACAAATTTGTGTTCTAAGATCTCATATAAGAGAAACTGTGAAAGGGGTGTATTTAATCTTCTATGTCTGACTTACTCCACTCAGAACTTGCCTCCTGAGAACCATTCTCCACCCTTGGTGTAGTTTTCTGTGTATGTACTGTTGCAGAACCTTGTTCTTCCCTGTGTCATGAGCACTTGGACAGTAATACATTTCACTTAGTTAATTAATTCATTAACTTATCAAATGCTTATTAGCTGACCAAGACTGGCTATGCCTGGGAGACACAATGATGTTCAAAACAGCAAAACAAAATGGAAACTATGATCCCCTGAATCAAATGGAGTTTGTATTCTAGTCAAAAATACCAATGAGACTACGAAATGCATGTCTTGTTCAGCTTTGCAGTGCCTGTGGGTTCTTAGGAAGTCATTTTTGAATGAATAGGTTTATTACTACGGGAAAGAACAGGGAGAAATTCCTGATCATGTGGTCTTGGGTAGACCTAAACCTATGTTTCTCTAATCTAATCTCCTGGTAACCCATGCACATGATTTTGTGCAAGCCTTCTTTGTCATCTGGGAAGGCATCCTGCCTGGAAATGCTATTTTGTAAGCTTGACCCTTTCAGACACCATCCAGCATATCAGGGAGTCTGCATAGCTTGTCTATTAAAAGTACAGGCTAAAAATGTATGATATAGGCTGCCAAAATTCCTAGGAAAATCTGCTTTCCTTAAATTAGAGTATTCATGTGTGCTGGAAATCACATAGCTGAGAAAGTCTTTGCTAGAAGATCTTTACAAAATTAAAGCTGTGTCTAGAACTGATGGGCCTCACGAAGCACTGGCGAATGCATGCTTGTGCCCCATCACAGGGCTCTCCATCCTGGGTCTCTATCCTCATCTCAGACATTAGAAGTGGGAATTTGGACTTGGAATGTAACTCAGTGGTAGAGTGCATGCGAATCTTCAGGTTCAATCCCCAGCACCACGGAGAAATAAATAAAGTAAAAACATGAGTTATAAAATTGTGATCCTCACTCTATCAATTTGGGCTCCCTGAGGATGGGTTACCAACATCCACATTTCTAAAAAACTATCCAGAAGCAGATTCTCGA